AAAGAGGTTGATTCCGAACGGAATCGGAAAACTTTAAACGGGGAACGATCTCGCGGTACTAAAAATTCCCGGTGAATTCTTTATGCCCTTGGGAACCGGAGTTCCAGGACACAAAGGAGGACAAATAATATTTGAAAATTATTTCTTTCGGGAAAGATATTGCTGCCGGCTTGACTATTAACGCTAAAACTCCGTCGGGGGCGGGGAGCGGGCCCGTCGAACGCAGAAGTCGGGAAACTTTAAATAAGAGCTACTTTTTCTTCCAGCGAAAATTCTCGTGAACATTATCTACTTTTCTATGTACACGTCCAACTTTAATGTACAGGGATTATAAATAAAAATCTTTCGGAATTTTTGATGCGAGAAAAGCACTCCTTATTTAAAGTTCTCAGACTTCCTGGTTCGACGAACCCGATCTTTCGAAGTTACAGGGTCAACCGCGAACAGGGGAGGAATTTTAGAGGCAACGACGTCTGAATGAGAATTTTGTTTTAGCGGGTTCGGTATTGGTGTGTTTATTCTAAGATTTTCCTGTTTCTTATTTTAACACGCTTCTAAGAAAGTTTAACGATTACCGATGTAGAATCAATCGGTTTGACGAAGTAATTGCCGCTTCGCGGGACGGGATTTCCTCGACACGCAACGATCGCAATATTCTCGCGAAAACGTTACCGCGATAATGCGGTTTGATTCGTTGATAAGCGGCAGAACTGCTGAATAATCGTAGAGACGGTTGTCCCATTTGCGAAATGATCGAGCGGACGATTTCGTTACGGGCGCGCGTCCCGCGTCCCTCGTGACGCTATCTCCTCGAATTTACACGAATTTTAATTCGAGGATCGTTTAGAACAGTGGCTCCCAAACTTTTATGGGCCGAGACCCATTTTCGGGGACAATAATTTCTGCGACCCGTTTGGTTATAAAACGCGCTGCAATTCATTTAACGTGACTGCGCTGATTATGGTAATTCCACGCACTATCTAGACAATTTATGTTACATGCCTAAGATCTGTTTCATTTTCGTATTTTCAAATTTTCTAATCTGCAAATATTCAAATATTCAAATATTCAAATTTTCTAATCTTCAAATATTCAAATACTCAAATTTTCTAATCTTCAAATATTCAAATATTCAAATTTTCTAATCTTCAAATATTCAAATACTCAAATTTTCTAATCTTCAAATATTCAAATATTCAAATTTTCTAATATTCAAATATTCAAATATTCAAATTTTCTAATCTTCAAATATTCAAATATTCAAATATTCAAATATTCAAATATTCAAATTTTCTAATATTCAAATATTCGAAGACTCCAATATTAAATAAAATGTACCAATATTCAAATACCCTAATCATCAAACATTCAAATTCTCAAATATTCAAATATTCAAATATTCAAATATTCAAATATTCAAATATTCAAATATTCTAATATTCAAATATTCAAATATTCAAATATTCAAAGACTCCAATATTAAATAAAATGTTCCAATATTCAAATACCCTAATCATCAAACATTCAAATTCTCAAATATTCAAATATTCAAATATTCCAAGACTCCGATATTAAATAAACTGTTCCAATATTCAAGTGCCCTAATTACCAAACACTCGAATCTTCAACTTCCCGAACTTCCAAATTTCTCTATCTCGAAACGTATAAATCCCGAAATTTTTCGATTCCCCGTGACCCGTTAAAAATCAAGTTGCCAATTTGGAATATTTCACGGCACTCGTCCGGCCGCGTATACGCGTCGACGGTTTACTTTGATTACATGCACGTCTGATATCGTCGTGTATATTTATAACATAGAAGAAAAACGATCGGCCGCGCTATCTTATCGGGGACAATTAACTTAAATGTAAAGTTACACCGAAACAATTCGATTCCGTCGCTGTCACCGAGATTAGTCCTTCTGCGGGCGTTTTATCGTCTTTGCGAAATGATGAGGCAATTCGGGCAATTTATTGCAACCGAAATGTATTCCCCTCCTTGTTTTTTTTCTTGTTCGCATTGATTACACGCGTTATTAATCTTCCTTGAATTAGCGCGGGGCACATTAAAACGAGGAAAAAAATATTCATTTACCGGCGAACAGATTGGGCAATTAGATAACGAGGAAACTTTATCGATCCTTGCGAATCCGATTATTTTATTTTTAGCAGAGATACGACGAGTTCATTAATTTTTACGATATCGATTATGCCGTTGAGTCGTTACGCGTCATTGTGTTGTTTAGAGCGTGTAAAAACTAGTCGGACCACGTCACAGTCGCGTCTCGGGTTTTCGAAGGAACGAACCGCAAAAGCTCTTTGGTAATCCACCTGATTCATTATTTGAAACGTTACTTTCCCGTTTCGCAGCTGAAACAAATCATGCCCGTGACCGGTGGAAACGGGATTACTTTCACAATAAAAACAATGAAGCAATCCGCGGCTGATTTATCGCTTTAAATATTACTCTCTATTTTCGAGCGCAACTATTTATGTCCCGGCCCGGCCGTAAACCAAGATTACTTCTCCTGCATTATTTTCACAATAAGAACAATGAAGCAATCCGTCTGATTCACTGCTCGGCTGGTACGCTGCCGTCCATCCGGCGGATCCGGCTTCGGTGTATGACCCATTTTCATTGGAGAAAAAAAAAACGATAACACGATTCTTTAATATTAAATTCATTTATCGCAGCTTTTCCTCTTTCCCCGTCTCCTTCGTTTAATTCCGATTTAACTCGTCCCATACTTGATCCGATGCAGCAAAATTGTGCGATCTAATATTTAATATTAATCCTCGTTTAATTCGTTAATGAATATTCATTGCTTTATTACAGTTTTCAACTGCCATTCAACATCGTGTAACACGATAACGCACGAAACATTGAAATACAATGCTCCTGTAATTATAATTCGCGAACGACTTCTCGTTAGGTTAATTAAGAGAAGAATATCATCAACGTTTCATCAGAGGGCGATGAATATTTATAGTGAAAACAAAGTTTCGACTGCTAAGAGTTTATCTCGCGAATCAAAAAGGAATTGTAACAGCGATTGTTTCGCTCGACGATGAATCAGTGAGTGACGCAAGGGAGTAGCAAAGACCTATGATGCGAGCTCTCTGATTCCAGGTAGGCGATTACTCGCCGTACTGTCGATACGTTACAATCACGGTCGAAAGAGAATTCCTCCGCGTTGTGCGTCGTTCGCATACGGAACGACGACAACGACGATGACGGCGGCGTCGCTTTATTTTTTGTTTTTTTTTCGCGGCCCGAACACGCTGCAATTTAATAACGCGAGAGCCCCGGCGATATTAAATTGTATGTTTCTGCGCGCTCTATGCGTCGAAGGGGAGGCAATGAAATTTAATGCGATTGCAGGCGTGACGCGGACGCCGCCGCCGCCGCCGCCGCTCGCGCCACAGAAGAATCGACTACGGCGAAAACGCAAATGTTTAATCTATTATGTATTCCGTTTAACGCTCCCCTTGTATACCATTTAATCCGGAAACATTTTATTGGAACAAGGAATCGTTCCAATCCTGATGTATCTCTGTTTGCCGATGCTCGCGTTCCTTTTAACATTCGGAACCTGTTACCAGAGAGAGACGAATATTGCCTCCATTAGATATCTTCATCTTGGAAGCAGAGAACGTTTCAACGTGGCCATGAGAATTTCAATTTTACAATGATGCACAGCGTAAGACAACAAGCTCCGTTTATGAAGCCAAATATTCTCGATTTCCGAGTACTGAAGAATTGAATTCCTCCGGACATACGACTAATCGATAGAAAAGAATTTTCTTTCGTTTCAACGAAATTCGTGGCGATTAGCTGTCTTCACCTGCAACGGTATTCTAAAATCGAGAAATTTGAAGTGTCAACACGTTGATCGCCACGTGCTCACCGATAACCGACGCATTCTTACTTGGAAACAGTTACAAAAGAAAAATGTATCGATATATTCAGTTACATGGATATTTATCTAAATAACTACAACTTAAGAACCATGGCATTTACCAGAGCATTAATCCTTTGCACTCGAAAAGTGACTCTCAGTCACCGCTTCATTTGATACAGCAAAACTATGAAGTAGAGTGTTCAGTATTTTAAATAAAAATTACATTTTGCAATGTGAAATATTTAAATAAAACAGCTTTGTTGCTTAATTTATCTGTGAATTATCGTTAAATTAGTTTCAAACAGTGTCGTCTATATTTCATCAGAAAATGTCCGAATATTTTTACTAAAAAACTTCCGAGTGCAAAGGATTAACCCTTTGCACTCGAGAGGTGACTCTCAGTCACCACTTGATTTGACACATGAAAACTATAAAATATGGTATTTAATATTGAACTTTGTATAACGCCTCCATACGTGAAGTACTGGAATAAAATAGCTTTGCTCCTTAATATACCTGTGTTTTCCCTTCGAGTTAACCCTCTATGGGCCGAATTTTTGCTCAAGATTATAACAAAATCTATACAGTACAAAATTAATAAGTATCCACATATGAATACGAATTAACAATGTACTCAATAGTTTCAATAATTTCATCAAACGAATACATTTTGTAACTTTCAAGTGACAATGACGTTAAACTTTTATGCCTGAGCGTATAAAAGTTTAAGTTAACTGATTATTTAATTGTATTCATCGCTTCGAGTGCAAAATGAAATAAATCAAAAAGATGCCAATATACTGATATGTGACTTTAAAGTTACATGGGCCTACAGAGGGTCAATTTCAAAGAATATCGTCTTCGCTTCGTCAAAAAATGTTAAATATTTCTAGTGAGAAATTTCCGAATGCTAATACGATTCGCCTTTGTTATGAGACGATAAGTAACGTTACACGAAGCGCACTAAATTCTGGTGGCGGTCAACGTGTTGATTGAATACCTCCGCAGACTGTTGCGCAACAACATCCGCGTTGCACGCGCGACAGACAGCTGTTCCCGAATGATTTCCAAAGAAACGAAGAAAGACAATCGGACTCACCTCTCCGTGCGTGTCCCTCCGGCCATCCGGCGTGTTCTCCGGCAGGAAGTAGAGCCGCAAGGACGCCAGAGGCTGGTTCGGGCCCCGGCTGTCCATCCACAGCAGCTGCAGCTCCCCGATGCTGACGAGGTCCGCATCGCTCCAGAGTTTCGTCAGGAAGAAGCTGCCGAGACGGAGAACGCGGCCGTTCCCTATCCTCACCGCTTTGTAGAACGTGTACGGGCCGTGGCTGAAGCAAGCACCGCCCAATAACTGTAACGGGAAACAGAAACAAAACGGGGTCAGTCCGGGAGCCGGGAGAAATCCTCTTGCTTTCGCGTTATTACTTTCTTCGCCTATTCTTGGAAATATTCCAATTCCCGGGGAAAAGCGATTTAAGGCTCGACGCGACGCGACGAGCGATAAACAATCGAGAGGCGTACGGGAATATTGAGACATTACTGTTGAAGAGATTGAGATTTGCGAAAGGGGATCGTCGGTGGATGTTACAGCATGAAGATTCAATGTGAAATGTTCTGTAGGAGGAAAGTGTTTTGTGAGATTGTAGGAATGTTTTGGTAGGTTTGAGATTGAGATTTGAGAAAGAGGGGATCGTTGGATGTTGCAGTATGAAGATCGAATGTGAAACGTTCTGTAGGAGGAAAGTGTTTTGTAAGATTGTAGGAATGTTTTTGGTAGGTCTGAGATTGAAATTTTAGAAAGAGGGAATTGGTGGATGTTGCAGTATGAAGATCGAATGTGAAACGTTCTGTAGGAGGAAAGTGTTTTGTGAGATTATCGGAATGTTTTTGGTAGGTTTGAGAAAGGCAAGGTGTTGAGTGTTTTTTGGAGGATAGTGTTAACCCTTTCACTCGAAAGTTTTTGCATAGGAAATATTGAACACTTTTCGACGAGATACAGTCGACGTGGTTTGAAACTAATTTAACGATAAGAAACAAAGCTATTTTATTCAAATATTTCACATAGCAGTAGAAAGACTAATTTAAAATACCAAATATTCAACTGTATAGTTTTGCTGTGTCAAATAGAGTGGTGACTGAGAGTCACCTCTCGAGTGCAAAGGGTTAACTATAAATTGTTTAATTTTGAGGGTGATAAAGAGTGGTGAGAGTAGAGAATCATTGTTTATTTTTGATAAATACTGTCGTAAACGAAGAATTGAGTTTTAGTAAAGTTTGACGACGTTCGATCGCGTTTGACAAGGTTCAGCGATGTTTGACAACCGCCTAATCTCCGCGGAATCGACCCCCCGCGCGCGAAAGACACGAGATCTGGGTCTGGCGGTACACAGATACTGAATTGCACTGGGAACACGATACGCAATCTTCGTAACGTGTTTCATAACCACTATTAGGACTTCGTTCTAATCTTATCAAGCGATTATAATAGTGTTAAGCTTGTTTACAAGTTCTTGCCGCAACAAAATCGCGGCGAATTATATTCACGCGGTGCGTGTACCGTCGGATAGATTATAGTCGCCGCCTGAATAAATGATAATGATGATGGCGACGATATCGATCCACGGTAAAAATCTATGATAAAATCGCGCCGGTCACTTTCAGCCATGAAAACTTCGTCGGACCGACCGCGGAGTACAAGGATCGAATAATAATCGAGCCGGTGACGCGTACGAATGAATTCCTCCGGTTGTTTGTAATAATATATCATTAAACAATTTCGTGGAACACTTCGACTATCAAAGTTGTTTGCATTGGCCGACCGGTCCCCGTTTATCAGTCGAGCCGCTCGAAACTGTTCCTCCATCCCCGATGGAATTATTTATGAACGAAGATTAGCCTGGGACGCGCGACTGCGATCATTTCCAATTTCCATTCGTTCGAACAGTCGCGCGGGAGCGATTAGAAACTCGCGCAATTGTCGAGATTTTGTTCGCGTCGCGCGCATAATTTATCCCGCGAACGGCACACAATAAATACGGTATCGGGCGGTAAATCATGTCCGAAACCACGGGAAAATAACTTTATTCCGAACACGAGAGCAAGACGAACGTCGCGGGATCCCTGTCTCTTTCTTCGAGCGATCCCCGCCGAATGGAACAATAAATTATGCGCGACCGTAAACATGAAGCGCGCCGTTGTATAATTCCTGTACAATTTATCTGTACAGTTTTTTAACGAGACGGAGCGCAATTCAGATAACTCTCCCGCTGCCACGTTAAATGATTTCGTTTCGCGGGACCGATCGGCGGACGATAATTCACGGAATCAATTTACACCGGATCGAATGCTAAACGCCACCATCGAAAACGCAAGCTGTTATTAAATGTCAATGTCTCACCCCTTTCTCTGAAAATTCATCATCCCTCAAGTCGGCTGCTGTTCAGCGTTACCGCGTGTTTTATACGCGTGTGGCATGAGCGACCGCGGTCCGAGCAACAAAGTGCACACCTTAATGGACGTTTCATAAATTTCATTGTCTAATTCGTCGCGAGATATTAATCCCCGAAGCCCAACACGCCAATTAACAGCAATTACCGCGAAAGGGACTCGAAAAATATTCGCTCGCTCGAGAATCGCCGGCTGGGCGATAAGTATCTTCCAGCCGCGCATTATGGTAATTAAACTTTAGTACATTGTTATTTGCGCCCATAAATATTTCCGCTGCGTGCATTGGACGCGCGTATTTTAAACAAAGTGCCGGAGAGTGGCAATTACGATTTCGTACGATCGAGAAATTCATTTCGCGGCGGGCCGATCTGCATTCCGCGCGCCCGCGGAACGATCTTTCTTCGTTCGCCGATCGTTTTAGCGGGTAATTTCCCGCGTTTCATCGCGTCGAGGAAGAGATACATTTTAACCATTGCCTTGCTGTTCCCGCCGATCGTGTTTTTCATTATTCCACGGTTCGCCGGAACATTATTATCGGCGCGGGAACACGCGCGCCGACGTTCAAGCGGCAAGAAGAGCCCGGATGCATCGGCTTAGCGGCTGAAACAATTGTATTGAAAGGAGTGTGTTGTCCGGGGTCCGGCGAATGCTTATCGGCCGTTAATTTCACGGGAAAACGAGCGAGCGAAAATAAGGCAATGCCCGTGCGGCTGCCGGAGCAGTTGAAGCGCTCTTAAAGGCCGGCGTCGAGCATGCTTATTTGCGAGCCGTTAGTTCGGTTTTATGGACGTTCGTCAAGTGAAACAAGTCGTTAGGTGACTCATATCCCATGCCACCGGGCCCTCGTTTGTAACAATGTGCTCCTTTAAAAACCGTTTACCAACAATACCTTTGTTTCCTGGTGAAACAAACCGTTTCGCAATCGGTATTATAACCCCTCGCGCTAGGATTTCTGTTACAATTGCGATCGATGACGACTACCTTGTCGTTAATCATTTATTGAATCGACAAGAACAATTCTTGGATAATCTATGTCTACGTTTGCTTTGGATTACAATAATTAACCCTTTGAGGACGAGCATCGGCATATCGAGGACGAGTTTTCGTAGTCAGAATAGACAATTTTGAATGAATAACTTAGTTATTGAAATAACGAGAGTATATACTATTGATTATTTGATTTCCTAGTATTCCTAGTTCCTAGTATTCGACAGTTTAGGAAATAATCATCGATCCCCCACCCGAAAACTAGAGTACAACAGCGTTGATTTTTCTTCCTTTTTTTTATTCGACCGGGAAGTCGTTTACCAGAAAGAAAAACGCTCGATCAAGAAGCATTACCGCCACGATATCTTAATTATGAAAGTTTCCATATTCATTTCGCGGTCTACTACTCGCCCGCGAACCTTGAGCTCGTTCAAGAGACTGAATGGAGAACGATACGCATCTTGTTTGAACACAGATAACGTCGAAACCGACGCGGCCGCGAACAGTGTTATTATAAATTTCCCGCGAACGATGTTGAAACGATGGAAATTTATAAATATCGATCGTTCCTGGAATTAGAACGAACACAGGGAAAGAACGGATGAAAATGTTGTTGATTTTATATCGGCGATAAGATCTCTTTCTTTAATATTATATTGGTGCTCGAAAGTTCAAAGTGCTGCGCGATTCGAATCCATTATCGTGATATTACACTGTTATCGTAGGAAATAAATATTTGATTCAAATAGTGTTGCCAACTTACTTATCGCTACGCGAACAACATACAGTGAAACAAGCGCAGTTAAAAGTATAAAGTTTAATTAGAATTTAATATCGTTCGCTTGCCGTGACAGAATAACGTTTTTTCAATGAAACTTTCCTGCGCTCGAGGAGCGTGTTTTATATATATATATATATATATATATAGATTGAAAACCGTGCTTCAAACTTTTGGACGGCAGTGTACGTCACACAGCGAACTTTTCTACTCCGTTATCTCGATACTTTAAACTTCTTTTTCTGATGTTATTTCATTTTTCGAAGTACCGGTAATACGTTTCATGCAAATTCACGTTTCCACGGGTTAGATTGTGAAAGCAGGAAGTGTTATAAGTAAAAACCCATTGCCTGAATGGACGATTTTACTAGGCACAGAGGAGGAGAGGAGAATGGAGTCCGCGTTAAACTTTATTCAAGTTTTTATCGCGTCCGCTATAAATGCGGATAAAATCCGCCGTCTGGGGAACGGTCCGAAAGTATCGATGTATTTATTGAATGTTAAATAAACCCTGGCGGATCATTGCTAAATTGTTTGAAGCGCCGAATATATACATATATATATATATATATATATATATATATATGTATATTGTACGGACTTTCAGAAAATATTAAGCTGTTCGCCAGGGATGACGAGTCGACCAGTCATTCTTGTTCGCTTTCACCTTTCAATATACTTTAAGTCTCTCATTTAATTAACTAATAATTCCCGGAGTTTATTGCGCCGCGGTATCTATATCGACGCAAACTATGCGTTCGACTCCATTGCAACGAAACCTTTATCATATTTAATTTTATTCGTCTTGAGTTACGCTCTCGCGAGTGTTTATGGTCCACAAATCATT